ATCCATCCATCCATCCATCCATCCATCCATCCATCCATCCATCCATCCATCCATCCATCCATCCATCCATCCATCCATCCATCCATATACATGTATATCTAAACACACACACACACACACATATATGTGTGTGTGTGTTTACATGAGTCAAATACACAGAAAAGAAATGATTGCTTGTCTTTGAAATGTTGTTTCAGAATCAGAATAAACTTTATTGTTATTGCACTGAGATACAACGAGAACATGCACGTGCAGTCGTCTGAAAGTCGGACGGAGTGCACGAAGCTGCTGCTATAAAAAGCGCGGCCTTTTCTTATTCAGAATAATATTTTTCTTAGATGAGAAAAGGGAAGAAAGTTTGTTTAAGGTAAATAGCAGATTTTTGGGGGTAATAATAAAAAAATGAACACAAGTTTTGTTCAAATAAATGTTTAATTTAAACTGAAGTGAATCTGACTTGTGGTTGTAGAGTTCCAGTGAGCTGATTAAAGTGAAACAACCCATCTGTTCACACTTGAAGCCTGAATGTCGTGTTTTAAGGAACTTCCACGTCTGGGTCGAGGGCTGGATGAAGAGACCGGACCTGGAGAAGAATGGCAAATATGATGGCTGGCAGGTTCTGGACCCAACACCTCAGGAGAAGAGTGAAGGTACTGACGGTCTCAGCCCCTTCTTGTTCTTTAATTCCACAGTTACAATTGACTAAAGGTCATATGACGTTATATTTGCTTACAAGTGTTAAAGTGTCTTTAAACTCAGCAGCTAAAATAAGACCTGATGTTGAATCCCTGTGTGATGGTCACATGAGATCATCAGAGCATTGTATAGAGGTTTTTACTTATTTGACTGAAAAGAACTCAAGTTTTATTGTTCAAATCTCTTTTGAAGTTAAATCGGGACGACGAGGCCGCGGACCAGTGGATAAAAGGTTTGTTGTGTGTCTGCAGGGATGTTCTGCTGCGGTCCAGCTCCAGTCACAGCCATCCTGAACGGAGACACTCACCTCAAGTATGACGTGCCGTTTGTCTTCGCCGAGGTCAATGCTGACTGCGTTTACTGGCTGGTTAGTGGGCGGAGCCAAAGCTTCATCAGAAACACCCAGGCTCACCTACACTTATCCTGCTCCTAGAATTTCTTGTTGTGTGTTGGGTCAGGTAAAACGGGACGGCACCAAAGAGAATATTTCCTCTGACAACGCGACTGTTGGACAGAACATCTCCACCAAGTCCGTGGGCTCCAACGTGAGGTTGAACATCACTGATGCCTACAAGCAGAGAGAAGGTGGACAAGCATCGGCCTTTTGTTTTGTTCAGACAAAAATATCAGGAACTCCTCGCCTCAGACGCCGCACCTTTTACTTTTTACTTCTTTAGCTGCTGTCTTTTTACTGCACACGACATTTAGCATCAGTGGACATAATTAGCAGCTCAGGCCTACTATAAAATGATCTTTAGCACAATACTGCCAGGATATAAAATCATTACTCAGTTTATGTAAAAGTATCCACAACACAATATTAGTGCAATAATAACAAACCTTTGAGAGGAAATTATAGATATTAGTCCAATGTAGGCATCTTGTTGACTGACTTTAACTGTAGTCTTAAAATTAAAGACTTTTATTAATGTTGTGATTTCATCAAGGAATTTCAAATCACAGCATTCTTATTCAGACTGTCACCAGTGTTCTCATTTCTTTTATAAATCACATTTTTCATTGGATGAGTCACCAGAAGCACCGTGTAGAACTGAGCCTTTATTCTAGGACCGTCGGTTCTGATGAACTCGGTGAGTTACAACACATGGTAAATAGTTCAGTTCTTTCAAGGTATTCACTCTGTTTGTGAAAATGAAACAGGCCGTGCACGCCAGAGTTCTAAACACAGATCTTTTTGTGCTTCGAGCACAAACTGAGGATGACTCTCAGCTACCACCACACCAAGATTTAGCTCCATATCTGTGAAACTGAGTTGTAGCTTTTTGCACGGTTTAGCTAAAGTTGACTGGATTTCCATCCCAACAGGAACAGAGCAGGAGAGGAAGGTCTACAAATACGCGCTCGACAGATTGGAGGATGAGATGACGGGAGAGGTCGATGCTGGGGACACTTCTAAAAAATCCACCAACGGAACGAGTGAAGCCAACAACGGCAAGCCTGCAGACATCGTGCATCCACAAGAAGCAGCATCCGGCCCCGACCCACCGCCACAACTTTCTCTTCGATTTGACGACGTGAGCCCGACATTATTACCCCTCAGTCTGCAGCTCACGCTCCGATCTGTGCGCAGATCGCTGCTTCTCCACAAACCAGTCAGATCTGTAACTACTGAAGGTGGAGGCTCAAGTAGGACTGGATTCCTTATTTTATGTCCACTTATACAAAATGTGAACTTGTGAGGCAACAAGTCTGGTATTCTCCAGAAACCACCTCAAATCAGAGGATGTTCTGCAGGTTTTTCACCATTTAAAGCAGGTGTGCTGCAGCAGGGAGACAATTAAAACACGTAGGGCAGGATGTTTAAAAACTGGGCTGGGAGACGCTGATGTGTTGGATGAGTCCAGAAGCTGGTTCTAAATGATCAGGTTCCTCTGATTCTGTGGCGCTGCAGGTGTCCAAGCCTGTGAACGGTGAGGACGTGAACCTGAAGCTGATCCTGAGCAGTGCCAGCAGCGCTCCCAGGCTGCTGACCATCAACATCAGCGTCCAGGCGTTGAAGTACACCGGCCAGCCAGCTGGGAACATCCAGACTGTGGTGATGGAGCAGAAGCTGCTGCCTGGAGAAGGTCTTTCTCGTTCCGCTGGATTTTATTGATTGATTGGACAGAACTGTTTATTCTGGAAACAGGCCTCTAATTTAATTCTCACCATTTCCTTCTCTTTGTCTTCTCCTCTTCCAGATCTGTCCGTCCCTATCCTGGTCCCATTCCTGACCTACCACAAGTACATGATCGAGTGCAAGAGCATGAACATTTCTGCCGTGGTCGCCGACCAGCAGAACAAAGATCAGACCTCCCTGGCTGAGAAACGCATCATGCTGAAGGACCCCCCTCTGTCCCTCACTGTCAGTAACAAAAACCACCTCATCTTTCATGAACCAAGCAGTTTTCAAGGATTATCAGACACATCAACTGGGATTAACAATGGGATTAACCCGTATAAATACTGTAAAGACTGAATGATAAAAAAAATCAGCTGACTGGTCTCAATGCTCCCTGCAGAACTTGGAACTTCTGAACTTTATAGAATTCATCCCTGAAATATATATTATATAATATTTTGTTGGAATAATTTCACACGTTGTTTTGTTGGCTGATTTTTGGGAATAAAGTGTTTGTGTTGCAGGTGTCTGGTGAAGGCCAGGTGAACCGAGAGTTTAGTGCTGAAGTCGTTTTCACGAACCCGATCGACGAGACGCTGAGAAACTGCACCCTGACTCTTTCTGGAAGTGGCCTCTTCTTCAGCGAGATCATCACCAAGTAAGTGTGTGTGGAGGAACCACGACACATCAC